AGTGCTCCCCCCCTGGCTGAGCTGTGGATCTGTCCTCCATAAGAAGAAGAAGAAGAAGATACACTTTATTAATCCCTTACAGGGAACTTTCTTTCCCCACTCTGTTGTGTTAACACACATTACACACACAGGGGAGGATATACATGCACACACACAACCACATGCAGATAGGAGAGGTGGCAGAGCAGAGAGGCTGCCAGGTACCCGGTGCCAAGGGAGCAGTTTCGAGGTTAGGTGCCTTGCTCAAGGGCACCTCGGCAGTGGCCTTGGAGGTGAACTGGCACCTCTCCAGCTACCAGCTCACTCCATCTTTTTTTGGTCTGATCGGGACGTGAACCAGCGACCCTTCGGTTCCAAGACCAAGTCCCTACAGACTAAGCCACTGCCGCACATTGCTAATTGCTTTGGTACTTCTGCTCTCCTGCAGCAAATGTGTGTATTGCACTGCCGAGCAGAATGACTTTGCACACAGTTTTGATTTGATAATATAAAGATGTGTGCATAACACCTAGAGTCGGTTCCATTGTAGACTTTTTGATACTATAGCTAACCACAGGCTGCTACGTGTTAACCACACACACATCGAACTGCCCGATTAATCCCCTTACTTGTTTTATGAAGGAGATGTCCGGTCACTAAGGCCCTAGCCACACGGAGACGGTAACGAAAACGAACCGAATTCGATATCAAAAAAGTCTTCCGTCCACACGCAATCGGCACCAGAAACGTGTCCGTCCACATGAGACCGTTCGACCCGCTGGAGATGCCGGGCCTGTAAGTGGCGCTGTACTTCCGCCACAAAATACACCAAAAGCAGCGAAGAAGACTTCCCGAGCATGCATGGTTGCCATGGTTGCCCTTCTGTTTATTCTCCGCGGTGGATTTAGCAGCAGAGGTGGGGAGAGGCAAGGCTCTGGCTCTTTTTCTCCCTCCCCGAGGCAAGCGTGTGCTCCTGCTGTAAATCTCCCTGGTAGTCCACCAGCAGATGAAAAACACCCACCTCTCCGCCTCTTCCAAGGGACGAGGGGACCGTGCGGCAGAGTTTCAGTTAAAGTTTAAATCTTCCGGACAAAATTAGAAAAGTGCCGGTCAAAGGTCTTCTTTGTTATTTATTGAGCTTTAAAACAAATGAATAACGACTCGATATAATAATATAAGAATAATAGGTACCACTTTACAATAAGACTACCCTTATAAAGGGTTTACGAATAGTTTGTAATTCATTTATTAATTCGGTTGTGAACACTTTATAAATCATTAATAAGCTTTTATAAGGCATGAGATAAACAGGGCAACTGTGACCGGTTGCTTGCCAAATAGTGAGCCCACATTTATCTGTACTACTAAGCCTTATATTGGCTACTTAGCTTACTTCATCTTCTTCATCAGCCAGCTTCCTTGGTATCTGTTGTTCACAGAGTTGATTAACATTTATAACTGCCAAAAGGGAGCCTTATTGTAAAGTGTGAAACACATCACCATTTATTGATGAGTCACTAACATTTATAACTAAAGGGTGCGTTGTTATTAAGTTTAATACATATGTCCATTTATGAATGAGTTATAACATTCACGCTTACCTAATACACATTTTTCACCTGAAATGCAAAGTAAGATGCAAAAGAGCCAAGCAAAACATTTTATTCACACATGAAGAAAATCAGGACTCAAAATAATTACTGTTTAGTATGACTGATACACATATTTAAACATAAAAGCTTTTCTCAGACATAAATGAAAGACTTGGTAAGACATAATGGTACTCAGACTGGAAAGGCTTTGTGTATATCCTTGAACAAGCGTCCAAGCAGTCCATCAGGGTGAGCAGAGCCAAGCCAAGATGACCATTCAAGAACCTTGAGGTGTTCCTCCGACAAACTCTCTGTACGGTTTCCTGGTGGTTTTAGTCCGGATGCTGCGGTACCGCCTGCCAGACGGCAGCAGACAGAACAGTTTGTGGCTGGGGTGATGGGGGTCTTTTATAATCCTGAGGGATTTCTTCCTGAGGCGCTGGGAGTAGAGGTCCTCCATGGATGGCAGCTCCGTCCTGGTGATGTGCTGTGCAGTTTTCACCACCCTCTGATTACGATTGAGGTCGGTGCAGCTGCTGTACCAGGCTGTGATGCAGCCAATCAGGATGCTCTCTGTAGAAGTTGCAGAGTATCCTGGAGTCCATGTTGAACCTCCTCAGCCTGCGGAGGAAGAAGAGCCGCTGTCAAGCTTTTTTGGTGATGGTGGTGGTGTGAAGAGACCATGTCAGGTCCTCAGTGATGTGGACCCCAAGGAACCTGAAGCTGCTGACTCTCTCCACCGTAGTCCCATTGATGGTGATGGGGGCGTGTCCCTCTCCCTGCTGCTTCCTGTAATCCACAATCAGCTCCTTTGTTTTGCTGATGTTGAGATGGAGGTTGTTATCCTGGCACCAAGATGTCAGGTTTTCGACCTCCTCTCTGTACGCCGTCTCGTCGTCGTCTGTGATCTGGCCGATGACGGTCGTGTCATCAGCAAAACTTCACGATGGTGTTGGAGCTGTGTGTGGCCACACAGTCGTGAGTGAACAGGGAGTAGAGGAGAGGGCTGAGCACGCAGCCTTGAGGGGCTCCGGTGTTGAGAATCAGGGTGGAGGATGTGATGTTTCCCACCCGCACTGCCTGGGGTCTGCCCGTCAAGAAGTTCAGGATCCAGTCACAGAGGGCGCTGTTGAGCCCGAGCTCTCTGAGCTTGATGGCCAGCTTGGAGAGCACAATGGTATTGAATGCTGAACTGTAGTCAATGAACAGCATTCTCACATATGTGTTCCTGTTCTTCGGGTCCAGGTGTGAGAGGGCAGTGTGGAGGGTGAGGGCTATGGCGTCGTCTGTGGACCTGTTTGCTCTGTAGGCAAACTGCAGGGGGTCCAGAGAGTCAGGGAGGGAGGAGGTGATGAATGATTTGACTAACCGCTCAAAGCACTTCATTACGGTGGAGGTGAGCGCTACTGGGCGGTAGTCGTTGGGGCAGGTGATGATTGTCTTTTTCGGGACAGGAACGATAGTGGAATGTTTAAGACATGTGGGGACTACAGACTGCAGCAGGGACCTGTTGAAGATGTCTGTGAACACCTCTGCCAGCTGAACTGCACACACCCTGAGAACACGGCCAGGGATGCCATCAGGTCCAGGAGCCTTGTGTGGGTTAACCCTTTTAAAGGATTTACACACATCTGCCCTGTTTAAAACAAAAGGGCAGGGTAGCTCCTGGTCCCTCTGTACCTCCACAGCCTGGCTGCTCTCAAAGCGTGCAAAAAAACAGTTCAGCTCATCTGGGAGAGATGCGCACTGCTGATAACTCTCCGGAGTTCATACCTAGAATTCCTGTAATCGTCCAAATCTCCAGCTCTGTGTGCGATAGTGCGCGCTTTCAGTTTGCAACGCACCTCGCGTTTATCCAGGGCTTTTGATTTGGGAATGTTCGTACTGAGCAGAGAGAGGTGCTCTGATCCACAGGTATGGACTGACAGTGTTCAGTGTGAACCTGGACTAAAATGCATAACTTTCAACTGAATTTGCATTAAATAGTTGGGAGCAGATCGTTTCAATGTAAAATAAACAAATTAAATTAATTAAATTCACGGCACATGGATTTAAACAGACAGCAGACAGTGTGAGTTGTTGAACTAGTGGAAAAATGATCTCCAACACTCAAAGTGATTTCTTTCAGTTCCCACTCTCCCTAACTAGTTAGCCTGTAGTAATACTTTCAGATCTGACGCACAGCCACTTCACACAAGCATGCCAACTGCCTGGATACCTGGTTGCTATGGCAACATTGTGGCGCCCACACAGATCTCCATCCTCTCATGACTTTAGTCGCCATGGTCACCTCCCTAATGGGAGCTGGAGAAAGGTGGACTGATGAAGGAGGCAAAGAGAGGAGGACCAAGTCATATGATGACATATGAGAGTTCTGACACACAGCTGTTCATATTACTGCTGCTGGACTCCTCACACAGCTGTTCATATTACTGCTGCTGGACTCCTCAGAATGCTGAAGGCTCGGGGAGTGGGCGTTCATGGTCCACAGCTGCAGGATATTTGTTCCTCTCTCTCCCCCCGCCTACACCAACTCTCAGACATCCTCCAACCCTGCTGCTTGCTCTCAGTCTCTCAACTTATGAATCACTTATGGGCACTCACTATGGTTGCATAAAGTTGACTTCATATATCTGATTGGACACTGACAGACTTAAATGTCTAGCTTACTAATGCCCCTGACAGTCCATACTACTGGAGGGTTTTTGGTGCAGCACAGCAACAAGTGACTTGCAGCCTTATCATTATCCAACATGTCATCACAGTATATGATGTTTTGATTGATCTCTGCTCTGATAGATTGAGGCACAGTTTAGCCTAATATAACCCCACTCATCACCTGCAACTGTCCCTGACACAGTTTAAGGGTCTGCCCACACACCTGGACATTTTCTACACAAAACAATAGCTCACTGTTTACTTGCATTTATATTCGATGGAACCGTTCACCTGCTTTAATGAAGCTAACTCTACTCTTGGTTCATGGTTGCTATAAAAAATATGAAATGCTTGCTTAATCCATCATGTACACCCTACTCTTATAAGTAGGGTGTACATGAGTGGCAGGGAATGTGTTTTTTTGCTGCATTAATTGACTGTTGATTGAACAACAAATCAAATGGCAAAAGAACAGTTATAGGCCAGTTTGAACTGAGCCTGTTGTTCCCACCTCTCAGTCGTAAGAGGCTAAACCACCATTAAAGGTTCATTTAGCTCCAAGACCTGCTAAGGACCTGCTAAGGACCTGCTAAGGACCTGCTAAGGACCTGCTAAGGACCTGTTAAGGACCTGCTAAGGACCTGTTAAGGACCTGCTAAGGACCTGCTAAGGACCTGCTAAGGACCTGCTAAGGACCTGCAGCTACTGTAGAAAGAGGTATGAGAAGGTAAATGGTTTGAAAAATATGAATAAATGACTCTCTGTCTGCAGTGGAGGGGATGAAGGTGGTGGAGATTGAGAAATGTCGCAACGACATTAAGAAGCTCCGTGAGGAGATGGCATCAAGAAACAACAGGTGACAGCAACACTTTGAGCAATCACTGAATACACCTGCTTTCATGAGAATAAACACAGAGCTAGTCTC